TCGTCGACCTATCGTAGAGTCCTGACTTGGACATCACATGGACCAGCCGACCGTCGCAAGCTTGCACTCGAAGGAGCGCTCTCTGTGGCTGGTCCGCACATCATTCGCGAAGACGAGCAAGCCACTCTGAACGCGCTTTGGGATCTCTGCGATCACGACGACAAGAAGGTGAGGCCTCCGTCAGACTTTCGGTAGAATGACTAGGCTGATTGGGCATCCACGTCCGTAAAGATTCGAGTGATCGGCTACATGCTAACTTCGCAGGTCTCACAAAAGTTCCCACGATTTGCTGCTAGCTCGGTAGACATCCTCGTTCAGTGCCTCACCGTCCCTGGATGCTCCAAAGAAGAAATTGCTTTCATTCACCATGGTATTGAACAGCACATGCGAGAATGGCCTCAGAGCACCTCAAAAGTGTTGCTGCAGAACATCGTCGAGAAGAAAGAGTGGTGGACGCACCTCCTCGGCGCTATCGAGACAATCATTCAAGGCTCATGGAGAGTCCATACAGAAGCTGCGCTGCTCAACGCGATTCGCGCCGACTGGATGCCATTGAGCTCCAACGATATCCTCCTCAGGCGCATCGCCGCGCTGCTGGCTCAATTTGAATTTGCTCAAGCGGCCGACGAAGCGGCTCAAGCTTCGAGGACGGTAGCTGTGAGATGGTTCAGTGAAATCCTCAGGGACGCTTTGGAAGCCCATCTGTCAAGCAACGAGGTTGAAGAAGGCGAGGCAACCGAAACAACTTCAAGCTCAAAGGAATGTGCAACGCAGGTTGCACGGACCAGTACATCAACTCTCCTGCGGGCGGACGGCAAGAGCGATGGCATTACCAATGTAGATGCAAGCAGCCCATTCGAAGGGTTCCTCATGCTTATAAAGAGGCAGAAGACTGGATCGCTCTGGCAATTGTTGAGCGCGATGCTCCCTGCCGATTCAGATGCCGCGGTGCTTCCGGTCGATCTTCTAGATGACTATGCTCTGCGCGAAATTCTGCGCGCTGTAGCACGTCAGCTGGTAGACGGACGAGCAGACCCTATGATCAGAGGTCAGAGTCAAAATTTGCAGAAGTGGGTGTCCCTTGCTTTCACCGTGAGTACTGCCGTGAAGTGATTAAGCCTGAATCCGGCGGAAGGCTCACTTCAGAAGATCTGTTTCCGCAGAGGCTGTGTCCCCTGGACTTAGAGGGGCGGCCATCAGGGCCCCTTTCACTCGTTGTGTACGAGGCATTGATACTTATCATGACCGTGACGCATCCAGTAGTGAGTCAAGCTTCGCAAACGTAATGGGCTCCAGGACCAACGACTCTGACATGGTCGCCACAGGAGGCTTCCGCTTCGGAAGTCTTGGTCGGCACTGTTGACGCTCGCAGTCGTCTTCAAGCGTTGTACAGGCGTAGCCAAGCCGAACTCTGTGACGACGCACTGATGTACCCTGTCTCGGGAATCGTGCACACCGGAATGCCCTCTCAAAACCCAGCGGCTTTCGTCCTGGCTGCTTGCAAAGTACGTCATGCTCTGGTGGCCTATCGTTCTTGCTTGATTGCACTGATACCACATGATCGCTCACGTATCCAGGAGTATCTCAAACCAGCACGTAATCGACGCGTTCCCACCTTTTGGCCTACCTGGATAAGGTCTAGGCCCTGGCCTACCACTGTCACGCC